AAAAAAAAAAAAGGAAATGCCTATCATCAGGCCTCATTATGGACTTATCAGAAATTCTGCTGAGTGGGGCTCAGCCATCTGTGCCTTCCATTCTGATACATCTCAAATTTAAGAACTATTGCTCATGACAACAGTGAAAAAAAAAGTTACCAATCTGATGTGGACTAGGCACTTAAATATTTACTCAATCCTCACAACTCTATCAAGTAGATATTATCATCTCATTTTAGAGATAAGGGAATGGGAGAAGAAGGAAGCTATGTCTCTTAGATTACATAGCTAGAAGACGGCAAAACAACATTTGAACCGGAGTCTGACTCCAAAACTTGTACTTTTCTCTACACTATCTCCCTGCTACAATGATCTCCAAACACAAATGGGTTGGGCCATGGTCCACCGTTCACCTCCGCCCTGAGAAGTCAGCTAGACATTCCTTCAGAAAATCCAGTGTCTCCTCCTCTCAGGGGCTCAGAAAAACTGATCTTTGTTTTTCTCACCTGTCCACACAGTGAGCAGCCGTCAACACCCAGTTCTGCCTGATGAGGGTCCCTCCACAGGTGTGATGCCAGGAACCCAGAGACGAATACTGGAGGGAAATCTAGAGGGGAAGGAAAGGAAGGAGGGATAGGTTGGTGTTTCTCAAAAGGCTTTGCCCCAAACATGTCACCTCCTTAAATTCTTGCCATCCTTCAAAACATTCTCCAACTTTCTGGACTAAGGATAGCAAATAGGTTTCATTTGACTTGCCAGTTGCTATGAACTGGTTGGTGGTGGTGTTGATGAGGGGTGTGTAGATGCTTCTGGGTTCAGCTCACAAGAACGCTCCGTTGCTGGGTGATATTTGCTGTGTACATAGATGGGGAATGAAGGCACACACGGAGTGTATCTGGCCTCCGTGCTCTAAGTCGTTGAGATGAACTTGGAACTCAGGTCCTTGCATCACTGTTCTTTCTTGGAAAGGAAATGAACCCAATGTATTGCTCTTTCATCCAAGTCCCGCAACTTAGGTCTGCAGAGCACTCCCTTCAATGTTCTCAAATACATTGTCCCCCCGCATTGCAGGGAACACTCACAAACACCAACAGAATGTTTATTTTCATCAGTTCGTGTTTCCTCTTATTTTACAATAGCTCTACTGAAAAACGGCTCAAACTGTTGTAAATTGTAATTGCAGTGATTTCTCTCAAAGTGTGGCTGTTCACCTGTTAAGTTACCAGTTTTATACATTTAGATTTGCTTAAATCAGGGCCTAGCTGCCCTGTTACAAAAGTGGAAACTCTTGACCCAAATAAGCAACTGCTTGCGTATGTGTATGTGCACGTGTGTGACATGCACTGTGTGGAATGCACAGTGCATTTGTGGGGCTGGCACGTAGTCTTGGAAGGGTGTCACAAGGAGTGTTGCTGGGAGTATAAAGGTAGTCTGTGTTTGGGTGAATGTATTCCTGGGAGAGTGTGGTTGGTGTTTAATTCCCTCTGCTAAGCCTTTTGCATTTAGGAACCCAAATAATCCTGGTCCCATGCAGCTTTAAAACCTGGGATCTAGACAGTTGGTAAGCTGCTGGTTGAGAAGAATATATACAAACATACATAGTACTTTTTTTTTTTTTGGTACCGGGGATCAAACTCAGGACCTTGTGCTTTCAAGGCGGGCACCAGAACCACTGAGCTAAATCCCTGGCCCCCTACAGTACTTTTTATAAGTACACAACAACACTCATTCAGTTGAAAGTCTGGGCTGTGAAGGAACACCCACCTGAGAGGGCCAGGAATTCTTCTTGGTCTCAGTCCCTCCAACTACTCGTGCATTAGTGTCTGGAAAGTCCTGGGTGCTGTGTCCTTTGTGGAGCAGAAGAAAAGTGAGTGATGACTAAGCATGGGGTCAGCTCCGGGTGGGGATGGGGGAGTGGCTGCTGTGCTTTGAGGAGTGTTAGCCTTGTCTGCAAATTCACAACTCTTCTCTAACCACTGAAGGGCCCCGCTGTAAGTTCTCTGAGGCCTGTGAAAGCAGGGGCAGCTGAGTACCTTCTGCTTTTTCCAGGTGTCCTAGAATTCTGGCGTGCTGTGAAGGACCTATCAAGAATCACCAGTCTGGGGCCCCAGAGGCTCCTTGTGATCTTGGTTTGCTCAAGGTCCACCCTTGGCTTGAGGGAACTTCTCCCCTGATGTTTGGCAGAATTTTCCAGTGGACAGGGAGAGCAGGGCACATCCCAGCCAGTCCTGCTCAGGATATTCTGTGAAGAGGGCTGGTGGGTAGCCAGGTGAGTTGGTGTACGCCTGTAATGCCAGCATTCAGGAGGTTGAGGCAGGAGGATCACCACGAGTTAAAGGGCAGCCTGGGCAGCTTAGTGAGTTCAGGGCCAAACTGAACTACAAAGCGAGATCCTGTCTCAAAAAACAAAAAACAACAGCGACAAAAGGGCTGGTGGGGAAGCTCTGGCCTCTTGGAAGGGGCTTCTTTCTGCTCCATGGCTCTGGGACATTTTGCCAGAAAGGCCTTGCATGGCTGATGGTGACCCCATCTTTTCTGTCTTATAATCCAGGATAGTACACTTTTTTGCTACACTCACAGGCAGAGCATCCCACCCTCCTCTGGGATAGGGAGCTGGCCCGGGCTTAGGGAAGGCATTCTGATCCTTGTGCAAAAATCCCCCTCCCTAGAAAACTCAGGCCAAATGGCCCACTTACCATAAAGGACCAGGGTGGCGAGCATGAGGAAACGCAGCATGTTGCCAGGGAAAGTAGACCACTGACCCCTTCCCATGAACCAAGCCCTCTTATACTCCTCTTATCAGCAGCTTTGCTGACCTTCTTCCTGCCAGCTGATGGCTGTGGGTGGATGGCAGGGAAAGTCACAGGTGACATGGAAGTACAAAGGAAAGGATTGCTTTTCAAGTCAACTAATTTATCTGTTATTCAAAGACAGAACAAGGTTGGAGCTCAGTTAATCATCTGCTTTTAGTTGAAAAGCATCCAACAAACACTTTTTCAAAACTAAAATGGAGGGGAAAAAAAACTAAACTAAAATGGAGAACCAAGACCACTTTCCCCTTGGAGTGCACCCTTCATCATCCTACCCCCAGCCTCCGTCGCTGTTCCACTGCTCTCAGTGGCGCTGTAAATGCAGAGCCCTGCCTGTGCACTAGAAGGGGAAGGCGAAGCAGGAGGGGGCAGAGTGGTTAGCAGGAAGAAGACACCCCAGAGAGGGAGCTAGGGCATGCCCCTTGCATGCAGGTGTGAATGTAGGCAGAAGCAAAGAAAATGCCCTGGAGAGAATTCTGGTGGAAGGAAATACTGAGAAACAGGTTGGGAAGACTTGAGTCAAAAAGAGCTCCTAGAACAGAAGAACATGGGGCAGGATTGATGAAGGAAACTTCAGGTTGGGATGGCAGTCTGTGGGTTATAGGAATTAGGGGCAGAGGGCACAGGAGGCGAGGGGCAGGCAGGCCCTGCAGGAGATGAAGGGCTCTGCCCCTAAGGGTCAATAGAGGAGAAATGAGAGAAGTGCATGGTACCCTGAGGTGGGCAGAGGTCCTTGGATTTGGGGACAAAGTATGCAGAAGTGATTGGAAAAAGTGATTGAAGTGCTTAGAGCCACTGCAGGCCCCCAAGTGGAGGACTGTGGGTGGGACAGTGATGGTAGTAAAGTGGGGGATTTTGATTTGGGCAGGGAGATGCCCGGAAACCTACAGGGAAGCAGGAAAATCACCTGGTGCTTTTGTTGTCCAGCAACTGCAGAAGCCAGGCTTCATGCCTGCAGCGGTGGGAGTTGCCTGGCAAAGGTGTTTGAAGAAGTCTACACAGACTGTCACTTTTCAGGGTCCTTGAGCTGTTCAGAGAGTTGCACTTTCATGCTCAGTTCACCTGGAGATTTCTCTCAGTTCACTCTCTTGCATTCAGACACAAACTGGACCTCAGAGAGGGGACCTGAATCGGGCCAGGGAATCTGAGGCCTTTGTCATTCTCCTACTTCCCTTCCTCCCTGGAGAATAGGAGACTCAGCCCAGGGGAGGGGTCCAAGAGGAGGCTGAGGTCCTCTGAAGGCTACCCCTTGACATCACATATTCCAAAGTTGTGAACTTTTAAGGGCAGGACCTATTTCATAAGGGCCAGGTACATGTCTCTGTACCCTTGGCCTGACCCAGAGAAACCCAATCTGTATTTACTGGAAAACCAAACTCTAGAACTGTATTTAAGCTCCTCATAATGGGTGCCTAATCTCCCATGCTGGTCAGACTCTTATTTGCACTTTTTGAAGTAGGCACACATAGTGGCCTTGGGTTAAATTTTGAGGCACTGCATTTCTTCTGACTAAGCAATTCCAACGTTAGCAATACATCCTTTTGAAATAAACACAGGCACAAAAATAAATGCACAAGGCTGTGGATTATAAAGTTGAATAAATTGGGTCTAATTCTACTGTGAAATGCTATGTAGCTTTAAGACAGTAA